AGATGATTTGATTTGATGTCTAACTGATTCTATGCTATCAATTACTCCGTACAATATTTTCCATACTAGATAATTGCAAAATACTTTCTATTCTTAAAAGGATGTTTCTTCCACTTTTGCAATTTTTTTGCTACGATTAAGCATCAGTTTGATACTTTTGTTAAATTCATTCATAGTGACAACGGTACCGAGTTCATGTGCTTGTTTGGGTATTTTCGCACAAATGGAATTTTGCATGAGAATTCTTGTGTCGGTACTCCCCAACAGAATGGCTGCATGGAACGTAAACATAAACACATTCTTAATGTTGCTCATACTTTGGGTTTCCAAGCTAAGTTACCTATTGAGTTTTGGGGTGAATGTGTGTTAACCGCTGCTTATCTAATCAACAGACTACATCTTGTGATTTATATGGCAAAACCCCTGTTGAAGTTTTGTACGTCAAACCACTTTCTTTGTCTCATCTGCGTGTGTTTGGGTGTTGTTCACAATCAAAATACCATAGGTAATAAGTTTTCTCGCCGTAGCGGAAATGTATGTTTGTGGGTATCCTTATGGGCAAAAACATAGGCACACACAAAAGACCAAATTATTAATTAAAAACTATTTTCAAACCGTCTTTCAGCCTTTCTTCCGATCAAATATTTCCTGTTAATAAAGGCTTCTCTCCAAAACTATTTTTTTTATCAATTGATATTTTCCTTTTTTTTTTTTTTGACTCTATGCTTTGCCTCCCAGTGTTGAGAAAAAAGAAAAAGGATAAGCATAAGCGAATGTAGAATCATCAAATAATAGTACTTCATTAAGTTTTCACGGTTTTAGTTGAATATGGTTCACATTGCAATAAACTGAAACTGAATCATACATATAGTGCTTTAACTGACATCATTGACTCCCGTCATTTGGTTTGGGAGGATGCAAGACGACCTTGATTGAGGTGGATGCTTCCAGAGGAGACACAACTTTGCCGAACAATTTTGAGCTCAAATGCTTTTGAATGCCATCATAATGAGTTGCAAAATAAAATGATTTTGTTTGGTTATTCATAAGACGTGTGTGATCTTAATTCTGTTTGGATCAAAAAAAAATATTAGAATTAAGATGATGATAGCTGATGCGCCAGGGCTTCTTTGGTTATGAATCTCCCTTGGATATAATTATGAGATTAATTATGACAATGTTTATCATGATTGGAAAACCAAAACGAATCTCAAAGCATCATAATCGAATCATTAAGACAAATGATAAAGTGGTCTATTTTTGCAATAGACAATCTTGCTCACCAATCAGAAAACACGATAACAAAGTTACAAACTAGACTACTTTTATATGGAGACCTTCTCTTGGGCGTTGGAACACAGGAATCGCAGCTTTTGATTCGATAGGATTTGGAGGGCAAACTGGAGGCGTATAAAGCCTTTTAACCTATAAAATTATTATTTGATTAGGATAAATCGAATCACCGGCCTTAGCTCAGCGGTAGAGCGAGGGGTGTAGAAGGGAACTACTACTAAAAAACCCATGTGTGCGAGTACTAATAAAATCCCCAAGGTCGCAGGTTCAATTCCTGCAGGCCGGAAGAATTACTTTTTTCATGGATTATTAGATTAGGTCGCTGTGTGTCTAATCCAAATCCAATCCAGCAAAGGCAAACCTCCCCTGTCGTAAAAATAAGGACTTGCTGCAGCAATACAAATAGATTGAATAGAAAAGCTCACCATTCTTTACTGCTGCGATTTAATTATCATCAAATTATAGTTCCAGCGAACTGCTCGTAGTCTGATGAACTTGAATTGTGAGGGAACGCATAGATCTGAAGGAAGTCTTTGTTTGTTTGTTTGTTTTTTTTTCCCCCCTTTTTCGCAGTTCTTTTGCCTTCTCTCCTCTAAAATCTAAATTGGAAACAAGAAGGATGGTTCAATCCGAAATTCTGGAATAAATATTACTTACCGAAATGGTTATGACCGAGTTAAGAACATTTTTGACAAGGTGAAAAAAGAAAAGCTCCATGGCAAAGACATCAGAATGAGCCCAAATCTGCACTGTTTTTTTTTTTTTTTATACCCCCATTGGCGAATATGTTGAGTATAAGATCCAGCATCTGAGATGACTTCCGAGTAACATAGCGTTTACTATGAGATCAAGGTTTGTAGTCCTTTTGGCCTACCCGAGTTGGCGATGGAAATAATTTGGGTGCTGTTTTGGGTGTGAATACAAGTCAGTGCTGTACCCTTTTTGGGTCTCTTCTTTACCCCCAGATCAAAATTTTGGTTTGTTTGAAGATTAGGTTTGATTGCAGGTTTGAAGATTAGCTCATCAGTGCTTTCTGCTTATAGACTGAAAATGTTGCAGGGTATTGGCGACAATGTGTCAAGATTCTGATTTGTGGAGTACCAATGCCACTCCGAAAGGTTTTTGGTGATTTTTTCAGCGTAGAATCACAGAATGGTCTAATCGGTAGCTTCATCTTCATTATAATCAGAAGGCCGAAAATATTTTACAAACAATTGTTATCAATACACAGCCCAAACGAGACCTGTTTGTCGATTCAACCAACCAAAGGATCATATGCACAATTGGACAAAAAAGGGAAATGTCAATAGGCAAATAGGAGCTACCCTGTTTCGATTCGGGGGTTCAAATGGAAACACTCACAGCTAGTTTGATCTTGTTCATCCTCTTGCTTATCGTATCCATCCTCAGTTCGGTTATCATACTCGCCTGAGGGATCTCGATGTCTGAGGTAGGTTCTCATGGCGGCATCACCACGTCTGAGGTTGGTTCTCACTCCTCCAGGAGATTAAAATTCGAACTAGACTCAAGCTGGTCTGAAGCTAGTACTCACCAACCATCGAATGATAATAAAGGTTTAGCAAGGAACTCAAGGAAGCTCTATGTTACCTGGACTCGGATACGGGTATCGTATCGGGTGCGGGGATCTGAGTATCCGGCTCGTCAATATTTTAGAAATCTTGAACATTTTAGACTAAAATACCACACTCGACATTCATACCCACACCAGTGTTGACACGACACGACATGGGTATTCTCCCCAAATAGAAGAGTCAGGGTAACATAGAGGAAGCTTATGGATTTGATTCCATCATATTGTTGCTCCACTGGTGCAACCAAAAAGCTTATAAACTCATTACAATTCACTAAGCCAAGAGCAAATCGAGGAAGCGGAAAACTCTTCCACAATAAAAGAAAAACACTTTCCACTTTCTCTCCCATTTCAGGATTCCACTGGACAAATCACAACTTAAGATTTGTTAATCAGTTGGTTGCAGGGTTTTCTTAATTGAAAGGAAGGGTGGGGGATTGAGGAAGTGGAACTGTAGAGGGCTAGATAGGGGTGTGTTTGTATAGCATTTTCTGCCACTAATTAATCTCAGAATGACCACAAGAGCATGGAATCTGCTTGTATTCATAAATATGCCGAGATAAAAAACAAAACAAAATTTGAGAAGTGCAAAGACTAACTTCCTAATTAAAACCAAATGTACATGAAGACACGCCATACACGTGAAGACATCCTCAACATATTGCATTCTCTGGTCTGTTTGTTGCCAGTCATATTATTGACTCGTCAAAAAACAGTAGAGATTGTGGTATAACTTATAACTAAAAATTGTATCATCCATGACCGACGTCATTTTCCCAACAACAATTGTGGTTGAATCCACTTTATTAGGAGCACAATCTTGTTTCACAAATCCAAAAAGAAAGAAGACATTTTTTATTATTATTATTTTTAGGGATGTGTCGGAGATTTGTTTGAGGATTTAGCCACTAATCTAAAACCCCAAATGAAGAACTCATTCAACAATCTCTTGATTTCCGGAAGTGCATTGAAAACATATGTCAAAACTTACGTTTCAAAAGATCATTGTGAGAACAATGTAGAAGTCAGGACATTTAGTTTAAAGTTTGCTTAATTACTTGTTTCAATCAAGAAAGTAGCGAATGGCTACAACTTTGAAATGTTCTTTCCTCTAAAAGTTCCAAAAAAGTGCACAACCATGCATATTACCCTTTACCATAAATCAACAGATTTCGTTGTTTTCATGATTGAAAATCTAAAACGAGCCACAAAGAAGAAAGCCATAGTGAAACAGAGCAGAAGACTCGAGGAGATGGAGGCTGAGAGGAAATTTTGTGAGAAGTTAGAACCGTAGAAGACAGAGTTAAAAAGGGGTGCATCTGCTTCAATTGAGGGGGGATCAAAGAAAAGTGAAAAACAAACTTTACATACCCTCTTCATTATCAAAACATTTTAGTCATGTTTTTTTTTTTTTTTTCCTTCTTTCCATTTCTTCCCAGATAATACTGAATTGTACATTTTGTCGTTTGGCAAATGGATCGTTATAACATATTTTTCTTACTTTAAAGCATTTGTTTTTATCTTCTGAAATGTCAAGGCTCTGCATGGTTTAGTGATGGCGGCCGAGTGTTAAAACTATTGTATATTGGAAAAGCAAAAAAGAGTTAGTTTGGGTTTTGTAGCTGAGATTAAAAGCCCCTGCGACCCTCTTTATATGTGGAATTTGTGTCCCTTAGACCCTTACAACGTATTTTTCCAACTTTTACCTTAATTTAGTCTCGCACAGTTTAACCAAAAATAAAATAAAATAAAATAAAGGTAGTATCGCACAGTAATAATATTCTCATCATTACACGTTTTTAGTGTGTGTTGAGAAGATAGGAGTATTGATCAAAACTTCCTGAACCCAGATTCAACCGGCGGCCGACATTCCCGAAACTCGTACAATTGTAGTCTGGTCGATCTTCCATCTTACCTGATTTTGTCAACTGGAGGGTGAGAATTTACAACGGGAAAACATTCGTTTCTAAAAAGATTTCTGAGGGTATTGTCGGCCAAAAATTTGGAGAGTTTGCAAATACAAGGAAACGTCGACCTCATTTTTCCAAGAAGTAAGTTCTTTTTTTCTAGTAAAGTGGAAATCCAAAAAAAAAAGAAAAAAGAAAAGAAAATTTATATGGCTTCTGACGACGAAGGATCGGTCAGGAGCGAAGAAGATGACGATTTTAATGAAGACTTTGAAGCTTTGAGAAGAGCTTGCCTTCTTACTGGAACCACCCCTAGTGACCTCCAAATACAGTCTGTCTCCACCTCTGCAGCCGCCGCCAATGCCTGGGATGCGACTTCCAACACCCGCTTCAACTCGGATGACGACGATGATCATGATGGTTATGAGGACCTCCTGTTGGTTCGTGATATCCAGAGAAGATTCGCCATTGTGACTGATAACAGGGAGCCGTTAACGCTTGAGCCTCTCAGCTCGATGCTTCCGGGGTCAGTGGATAAAGAAGATTGACTTCGAGGATGATATGGAAATACTTCGAGCTATTCAGCGTTGATTTTTCTCTTACAATGAAGATGATCAGAAAGCTAGCTTGGAAACTGTTTTACATTCCACAGAGCATGATGGGACTAATACTCTACATCTTGAAAGTTGCGAGGATATGTTTGTTGATAGTTCTAATGGCGGTGTAGATCATAGTTACAATATCGTAAACTATGGATCTTGTAATAACGTTGCTGCTGGGGCTGAGGATGGTTTGTTGCAAGATTCTAGTTTTGGTGATGCAACAAAGTTGCCCGTTAAAGGTTCATCATTCCCGCAAGCAGCCCAAGCTTCATAGATGCAATCAAGAAGAATAGGTCTTGTCAGAAATTAATCAGGAGTAAATTATTGCACATTGAATCCAGGGTTCAAGAGTTAAAAAAACTCAAGGAAAGAGTTAAAATCTTGAAAGATTTTCAGGTTGCATGTAGGAGGAGAACTAGTTTAGCATTGTCTCAGAAAAAGGATGCCCGCGCTCTAATATCTTTGTCAAGGATTGATCCTAGTTCAAAGCTTAATTCCAAGAAGCCGTCCCCAATGTTGTATGGCCCTGCTGAATCAGGTCTCTAAGTTCAAAGAGACAGTGGAAAGATCCCCTGCCTTTATAGGTCGAGCCAGGTGGTCAAAGGAAGAAAGTGAGAAGCTCACACATGGTTCGAGACAACAATTTCAAGAGATGCTGCTTCAGAGATCACTTGATTTACTCAGTGAAGGCGAAGGAGGGGGCAAAGGTTCTGGTGTATTTGATGGCATTCTTGTATCTATTGGTGAAGTTGATTTTACCCCAGAGAAAATGAGACTGTTCTTTCCAAAGGTCAATTGGGAGTACTTAGCCTCCATGTACGTTCCTAGTCGATCCGGGCCTGAATGTCAAACAAGGTGGTTAAATCATGAAGATCCCTTGATTAATCAAAGTACTTGGACTCCGACAGAGGACAAAGCTCTTCTTCATGTGGTTCAACAGAAGGGGCTTCGGAACTGGATTGACATTGCTACCTCTGTGGGAACAAACAGGCTCGCTATCAGAGAAGTCTTAATGCTTCAATAATTAAAAGGGAATGGACTGAGGAAGAGGACAATCAACTTCGAGCTGCTGTGGAAGCTTTTGGGGAAGGTAATTGGCAGTTTGTTGCTTCAGCTATTGAAGGACGGACTGGTACTCAATGCTCAAATCGAAGGATGAAGACACTGCATCCTACTAGGCAAAGGGTCGGTAGATGGACTAAAGATGAAGACAAGCATTTGAAAGTTGCTGTGATGCTTTTTGGCCCTAAAAATTGGAGGAAAATAGGTGAATTTGTGCCTGGCCGAACACAAGTTCAGTGTAGAGAAAGGTGGGTTAATTCCTTAGATCCTTCATTGAATCTCAATACTGGACCGAAGAAGAGGATTTGAAGTTACAAGAAGCCATAGAACAACATGGTTTTTGTTGGTCAAAGGTTGCAACTTGTGTTCCTCCTCGGACCGATAATCAGTGCCGGAGAAGATGGAAGGTGCTTCGCCCTGACCAAGTTTATCGGCTTCGAGCTAATAGAGACTGAAAAGGCTGCCCTGATATCCGATTTTGTGGATCGGGAATCTGAACGACCTGCCTTGTGACCTAATGATTTTGTTGTGGCCTCTCAGGAAATAGTTTGTGTACCGAAATCTGAATGTGTCAATCCTTCTGGTAAAATAAACAAGGGTTCAAGGAGGAGGAGAGAAGATGCTCTGTCAAGTTCATGTTCAGGGGACACCTTTGATTATAACACAACCCTTGCTTCGTATTGCAGGAGTTTTGACGAGTCCAAATCCAACCCTGGTTTTGAACCGGCCCAAGAACCGTGCGATAGGCCCGACCAACTCCAATAGGGCGGCAATGTGACTAAACCCTAGTAGTATTCAGTTCTATGATCATACCTTCCTGCCTATAAATAGGGATGTAAGTTCCACAATTAAGGTACGCTATCTTGGCTATCAATCAATATACGCACATAACCCTACTTTCTGACTTAAGCTTCGGAGTGTCTACCCTCGGGAGACGCCCGAGGTTCTGTTTTGCAGGAAATCCTAACCGAAGTTCCACCCTAAAGCTGCGGTACAATTCCAGGTATCATCAAGTGGCATGCCCAATGGGATCCGAAAACTAGGGTTTGTGTCACCAAGCTTTCTCAAGCTTTTCAAAACCTTTCAGTCCGCACCCAACGCTTCTAGAACAGGGTTGGTGGAAGAAAAGATGGTGGTAGTTGACAGTCCTCAATCCAGTGCTGTATCAACTGGAAGGCAGACGAGCCCCGAGGACGGTGAAACCCTAGCACACTTCCAATGGAGGCAAAAACGGAAAAGAAACGACCGACGAACGAAGAAAGAGACTACCCCTGTAAAGCCAACTGATTAGAAAGGTCACCGCAAAGCCCCCGACCCGTATAAAAAACAACGGCTGGCCAAGATCTAAGCGGAACTGAAGAAGTTGAAGGACGATAATTCCCTCAACCAAAGAAAAAAGAAATATATCCTTGAAGAATACAAGCGCTGTTGTCTGTTAGGCCTGCCCGACCCTACGGACCAAGAGATGGAGGAGTTGGTCGAAGAGAAAGAGGCGAGAAGGACCTTGGATCTCCTCGAGATCAGAAGAGGTGAACGCCCAGTCCCAAACGAAGGAGAAGAAAGGGCTCGTAAAGAAATCCCCTATCGTGAAGCTTCTCGCGCCGAACTTTTCGACGCCCTTGGTGATACTTTCTGGGAAGCGCTCGAGAAGACAAACCCAGTGGTTTATCAGGCGATTCAGCAATTTGCACAGGAACACCTGCAAAAGAAACAATCGCGCAGGCAGGATCGACAAAGATCACCCAGCTTCGAGGAACTGTCTAAAAGGGATTGGGAACCTTCAAGAGGCAATGTCCAATCTCGACTCGGACCAAAAGCTCCTCCAGAAAAGTCCCGTCATGACTATCATCGAGGAGGAGATCCTCCACCTTGACACCAAGAAAATCGAGGCAATCAGGATCTTGCAATTCGAGACTTGATACGGAGGACGATAGAGATGATCGTGGACAGAAGCCCTTTCATCCCCAGGATTCGAGACTGCCCGAAACCTCAAGACTTTGACTTCCCCAAAGACTTCACCTGTTATACAGGACATTCTGATCCACAACATTTTTTAAACAAGTAGGTCCAAGTCATGAGAATCCGCAATGCATCCCTGGACTTCATGGCGAAAGCTTTACCATCATTCCTCGACGGGCAAGCACAACGTTGGTTTGGACAGCTGCCAGAAGGAAGCATCGACAGCTTTGAGGATCTCACGGTAAAGCTAGCTACCCGGTTTTTCCTCAGCAAGTAAGTTACAAAGATGTCCATTGATCTATCTTCAATCAGGCGAGGACATAATGAGACCCTCTCAGACTTCCATTGCCGCTTTACCCGTGAATCTCTCTAGATTGACAACCTTGATGATAGAGACGTGCGGAATGGGTTCATCCAAGGTCTTAACCCTTGGGGAAAATCCGCCCCCCTGTGAGTGAAATTAACCACTAAACCTCCCCGAAACACACCGGAGATGTGGGCCACAGTGGAAAGTTATATCCAACGGGAACAAACACTGAAAAATTCTCAAGAATCTTTCTCACTTGCACGGGAGCAAGGAGGAAAGGACAGATATAAATCCCTGACTGATAGTAAAACATCCCTGCCCAGGCTCGACAAACTACTCACCCCGTTGATAAAGCCTCGCAGAGAAATACTCCAAATCCACAAGGACGAGTTCTTGGTTCCGAAGCCACTGGCTCATAATCTGAATAGGTCCACAGATCGGTATTGCGAATACCACAAAGACCATAGGCATGACAGAAGATTGTCGGGAACTCAAGTGGAAAATTAAAGTAGGAGCGAGGTCTGGGAAATTCCAACAGTATGTGCAGAATACACAAGGCACCGCTCGAGGAGATACACGCGGTTCTCGAGAAAAATCCGCTTTCTCGCCCAATTTTCGTAAGCGAAACAACAATCGTGGTTCCCGCCGGGACAATCGAGGGAATAATTGGCAGCCGAGGGACAACTCACAGTAACTTGCTCAGCAAACTCTCGATAACAGACCACAGCCAATCCAGCAGGTTCCTTCCCTAGATCCTGCTAAGCAGATTACCCACAATGTCGAAGCAATTTTTGGAGCACCCCTCGAGATTCTTTCGACCACGGCAATGAAAGCCTCAGTTCGACAAGTAACAAAAACTCCACCACAAGAGCCAAGTCACAAGCGGTTTAGAGGAACCGAGGCAATTGTCGTCACTGATAGTGACGTCGCTCCTGGGATTTGTCTCCATAGCGACGCCATGGTTATCGAAGCCATCATAGGAAACGTGGGGGTAAGCCGTGTGTATGTCGACAATGGCAGCGCGGTCGACATCATCTACAATGACTGTTTCAAGAGAATGAACATACAAAATCCAAATTGACGCCCGACTACCTTACCATTGATGGGCTTCTCTGGGCACACGATAATCTCTAGTGGAATCATCAGGCTTCCAATCACGGTAGGGACGTATCCTCCGATGGTAAATCTAACAATAGATTTCGCCATAATCGATGCTCCCTCGCCATTTAATGTGATTCTAGGACGGCCATGGATGTGCCAAGCCCGCGCTGTCTGGTCACCCTACCACTTGGTTATGAAATTTCCAACGGAATATGGGATAAGAATAGTCCAAGGGTGCCAACGCAGCTCTCGAGAATGTCTTCTCACGGCAGTAAAAATTGGAAAGAAAATAGTAAAGCCGGAGCTAGCTGTCACGACAGCAGGATGTTATTCGATCCAGCAAGGAGTATCATCGGCTGAGTAAAAAGAGGGAAAACAAGAAACCCAAGACATGGATCTGGATCAACCTCAGAACCCTCCACTCAGCAGCAAGACGGAAGAGTTAATCCAGGATGAAAGAGAGCCAGAAAAACCCATCAAGCTTGGTATATCCATCGATGGAACGCTGCGGGCCGAGGTAATTGCCTTGTTATGCGACTTCCATGACATCTTTGTATGGTCGCCATCTGATATGATTGGAGTTCCTCGACATATCATCAAACACAAGTTAAATGTAGATCCCAACGTCAAGCCGGTTAAACAAAAGAAAAGGGTTTTTGCTCGAGATCGCAACGATGTAATTAATGAGGAAACCCTCAAACTGGTTCGAGCTAATATCCTCAAAGAAGTGTTATGGCCCACGTGGCTGGCCAACCCGGTTCTTGTTCGCAAACCTGATAATTCCTGGCGCATGTGTCAAGACTACACAGACCTAAATAAATATTGCCCCAAGGAATGCTACCCTTTGCCCATAATTGATCAAATGGTGAAAGGTATTACCGGTTACAGGACCCTTAGCTTTCTCGATGCGTATAAGGGATACCATCAGATTCATATGGCCTGGGAAGACACAGAGAAAATACATCACGGAGATTGGAGTGTACTGTTATGACAAAATGCCGTTTGGGTTGAAAAACACTGGGGCCACCTACCAGCGTTTGGTTAATAGAGCTTTCCACAATCAGATTGGAAGGAACATCGAGATTTACATGGATGACATGGTTATCAAGAGCAACTTGGATAGCGGGGTGGTTGAAGACATGAAAGAGATCTTCACAATTCTTCGAGGAATTAACATGAAACTCAACCCGAAGAAGTGCGCATTCTGTGTGGGTTCTGGGAAGTTCCTCGGATTTCAAGTGTCAAAAGACGGAATAAGCGTAGATCCTTCAAAAGTCGAAGCAATTCTTTCAATGGAGGCCCCGAAGACCGTCAAGGAGGTACAGAGACTCACAGGATCTCTGGCCGGGCTTAGCAGGTTTCTGTCTCGAGCAGCAGAAAGAAGCCTTCCCTTCTTCAAGACTCTAAGAAAAGGGAGAGGTTTCCAATGGACTGAAAAATGTCAAAAAGCCTTCCAAGAGTTAAAGGAACACCTTAAGCAACTCCCTATGCTGGCGAAGCCACAGCCAGGAGAAGTTCTATATATCTATTTAGCCGCTCGAGAAACGGCCATATCCGCGGTGCTTATTCAGAAAAAAGACGGTAAAGAGCTCCCTGTCTACTTCTTTAGCAAAGTCCTGCAAGGGGCGGAATCTCGGTACGCCCCTATGGAAAAACTGATCCTAAGCCTTGTGCTCACTGCTCGACGATTGCGCCCCTACTTCCAAGCTCACCCTATACAGGTCTTGACCGAGCAACCTATCCAGCAAGTCCTCCCCAAGCCGGAAGCTTCAGGTAGAATGATGAAGTGGGCAGTCGAGCTGGAGGAACACCATATCGAGTACAAGCCCCGCACAGCTATAAAGGGGCAGGCATTCGCAGATTTCTTGGTTGAAATGCCCAGAACTCCAGTTACTACGCAAGAGTCAACACCAAAGAAACAACTACAGGAACATCCCTCCATAGATCCTCGAGCCTGGACTCTTTATGTCGACGGTTTTTTTGTGAAGACGGGGGAGGAGCGGGTATCATCCTAGCAAAACCAGCTGCACCTCGAGAAATCAAGGAAGTCAAGGAATATGATGTTGAATACTCCTATGCCTTACAGTTTGGTTTCCCAGTTACCAATAACATCGCTGAATATGAGTTAATGATCACGGGATTAAATATGGCTCTCAAATTAGGGGTTCGAAATCTGCAAGTTTTCTGCGACTCTAAAGTGATTATCAAGCAAATCAAAGGCGAGTACACAATCCGCGAAGAACACTTTCGACCCTATCTCGAGAAGGTCTTGGAGATCAAAGACAAGTTTGAGGAATGCTCTATTTCTCACATCCTCAGAACCAGCAATAAAAGAGCCGACGCGCTGAGTAAGCTCGCTTCGTCCAATTTTGCTAATCTCAGTCACAAGGTTTGGGTTGAGATACTCCCGAACCCAGCATTCAGCCCAAAGTTTCCCTGGCTATTACCGATGATAAGGATACATGGATGACGCCATTCATCCAATTCCTCGAAAATGGGACGCTCCCCGATAACAAGCACGAACCTCGAGCGTTGAAGCTAAAAGCAGTTAAGTACACCTTGAAAGATGGAGTCCTCTACAAGCACGGGTACTTGTTACTGATGTTATGGTGCGTCAGACCAAATCAGGCAGCGTATATCCTTGAGGAAGTCCACAAGGGATCGTGTGGAGCCCACATGGGAGCAAGAAGCTTGGCAAAAAAGGTCCTTCGAGCAGGATACTTCTGGCCCACAGTTTTTAAAGATGCTTACCACTTTGTCCAAAAGTGCAACAGATGTCAAAGGTTTTCACCGGTAACCCGACAACCACAACACGAGATGGTGACCATACAAAGTCCTTGGCCATTCTACCAATGGAGTACCGACATCATCGGGCCCTTTCCAAAAGGGGCGGGAGGGCTGCGATGGGTTAACGTAGCCGTGGATTACTTCACCAAATGGGTAGAAGCAAAACCGTTGGCCTCGATACCAAGAAGAAAAGTGTTGAATTTTTTCTGGCAAAACGTAGTCTGCCGGTTTGGAGTGCCCAAGGTAATTGTATCAGAGAATGGGACCCAGTTCGAGAGCGATTCTTTCAAGTCATGGTGTGCAGAAATGCAGATCGAGTGCCGATTCTCTGTTGTCGCCCATCCGCAGGCGAATGGACAAGCTGAGTCAATCAAAAGAACCATCCTACATGGAATTAAGACAAGGTTGCATAATGCCAAAGAGGCATGGGTCGAAGAGCTCTCTCACGTTTTGTGGGCATACCGTACCACGACTCACTCCTCGACAAACGAAACACCATACAACTTAGTCTATGAAATGGACGCCGTTCTCCCAGTCGAAATTGGCCTGGCGAGTCCTCGAATGATTAACTTTGTCGAAGACACCAATAATGAAGATATCCTGACTAACCTTGACCTGCTTGAGGAACGGCGAGATACCGTGAAAGTCCGGGAAGCTAAGTACAAAGAAATCATTAGAAAGAACTATAATAAACGAGTCAGGAGCACCGACTTCGTGATCGGGGACTTGGTACTTAGGAAAAATGCAGCCAGTCGAGCAGAAACTCCTGGAAAATTAGCGGCCAACTGGGAAGGGCCATATCAAGTCATTCAGGTCTCTCCATCGGGCAGTTACCGGTTACAGACGACAGATGACATGGGAACCATTCTCCCTCCTTGGTGGAACATTCAGAATCTATGCAGGTTCTATGTTTAGATTCCCTACATGTTATTTGCTATTTTGTTTACTGAAGTGGTTTGAGGCTTTCATTTACTTATATGTAATGCTAACCCGGGTCCTCGGGTAATTATTAATAAAATTCATCACATATTTCTTCTATACGTTTCATGTGTCGACACTATCTTATGACTAGTCATGGAGATGGACACCCTCTATAGGGCTATTCTCGAATTGAGGCGTGTATTCAACATCCGGACACTTAAGCCAAGGACTTCTCCTCGCACCTACCGTAGATCGCGGTGTTGTTAAGTCGAGGGATCCGTATCCGATTCCTTGATAGGGCCATGTACCTTACATTTGGCCAAATAAGCGCTATACAAACATACTCGAGTACAAACAAATAACTGACGCTGATACAGCTCGGTTTAAATATAATACCCTCACACTCAGTGCGGGGTTAGGAAAATGTATCAATACACACTTGTTATATACCTAAATCTTAAGATCTGTCCCCTTAGGGTTAAACCGGAAGGCTTGATAACGCCGGAACATCCCATCACCCTAAGCTTATGGAGAAACTGACTAAGCTTATCTTTTAAGTCTATAATCTCCCAATCTTGGTCGTTGATTCTAAGGAGATACTCTTCAGCGGCTGCCCTTTCCTTTGCCTCATCATCCGGATCGAGGTCCTCGAGAATGGGTAAGGAAATCTCGTTGTCCACCAATATGTTCTGCAGGACAGCAGCTTGCCTCGAGTAGAACTCCGCCTCTTTGGTCCTCTTCTTTAGGAGGTCGATTGCAGCGATAAAGCGTTCCGTGCGAACCTTTATCTGAGACTCGACCAGAGCAAGTGTGTCAAACTTTTCAAGAAACCATGGAGACACGACAATATTCTCGCGCTTCCTCAGTCGAGCATTTTCCTTCTTCAGCTTCTCCATCTCCTCGTTGATGTTGGCTTCCAGCGACAAGGAATCATAACAAGTCATATTGGTGGAGTCGACGCTTCCACTCTTCCTCCTGCTGTTTGAAGCGTTGTACCAAGTGGGAATGTGCCTGTAGGTTGAGTGCATTAACAGCATCGGTAAGCTCTTTCTCGAGGGCTCTCACTTTTTCGATATTGTGAACGTCCCCAAATTTCCTCAAAATTGAAGAAATCATCGCATACATGGGAAACCTCGCAACCTCGTCTTCCTCAAGAATCAATAGACGTACTAGATGAACGAAGTGTGAATCCTGGTATGATGGACAGAAGTATATCAAATGTTAGAGGAAAGAGGTACCGATCTAATTAATAATTGGCAAAAGGGTTCGAGAATCGCTACAACAGGCTAAGGTCTACAACCTTAGCAGCAAAAACCCTATTACAAGAAGAAGGTTCATACATCATTCTGACTGGGGCGGCTGGCTTGGCTGGCTTTCATTTGTCTCCTCGACGGGTGACAGAGCCGACGTCCCTTCCTTCTCCGGCTCCTGGTCATTCTGCCCATCTCCCTCGACTTGCTCTGAGGAATCCTCTTCCCATTCCACATCGACACCGATAAAGTCTGGGGCCAGCTCCGGCACGCACACCTCTTCTCCAGCATCATCAAGGATCATTGTAAGGGCATCTCCCTCAAAGAAGGCGATCTCTGTCGATGACCCCATCTGAGCAACGGCACTGCATAATGGCCCGAACAGGGGGAGTTGACCATCAGAGAGTTGTTGCAATCCATTCTTGATGGCCTCATGGAGAGTTTTCTAAGGATGCGGCCTTATGAATTGCTGGAGCCATCCAGCATTAATAGTCCTTCCGCTCTCCATCCTCTCGAGAGCGACTACTGCTACGCCATGTCCCCCCAATGCCTTGGCATCGTTGTTGATGCCCACTAGGATGCTCGCCAACCCACCAGTGGGTACCATTCTTGCCCAAAAGGTGATCATCCATGCTTGCAAATTTGATCTGGGAATATGAGTCTCCTTATATTCTGTTAGCTTGGCCTCGATCTCCTTATACATGGCCTGAACCTTGGCCAGCTCCTGCTCCCTAGCAAGCCTCAGAGCCTGCTACTCCTTCCTCGACTCCTCGCTCGATAGTCTCTCTTGCTCGAGGAGCCCCTTCTCGAGTTGCAAGCTGGCAATCTCTTGCTTCAACGTCTTCTCTTGCATAAGGATGCTGGCCATCGCGGTAGTCAACTGCAACAAATACATGATGAATGTCAGCGGAAGTATTACAGGGTTTCAAGAAAAACATAACTTGCAGATGGATAAATCTTACCATTTTCAGCGACTCCTCTTCTGTCAAGGTCGGTGCAACTTCTTCGATAATGGGACACTCGATCCTAGTGTCCCCAAAATGATATATGGCGGTGGCAGTAGTGTAAGTCGATGACCCATCGGTGTCCTCGATAGCATTCTTCTTCTCTAGCGAGGCCTCGAGTGGCCTGAACCACTCTGGATGCCGCTCTGTTACCGGGATGGTCTCGGGAATTGGATCCTCAGGCATTGGGACCTCTGTTTCCTTGGCAGTAGAGGGGACAACTTTTGATAGATCAGCCGCGTCGTCAATTCTCCCCTCCCTCTCGACCGGGGCTTCCTCCTCGATAGGCTTCTCTGTCTCCTCGACAGTGGGCGGTTTCTTCTTCTTGGCCTTTGCACCCGCGTCGGATGCCTTCACAAGCCTTCTTAACTTCCTTTTCTTGGTAACCTTGTTGGACGACCGCTCATCATCTGAATTTTTAATTTCAAAAATCTGGGCGTCACCAAACAATCCAACGGTATCTTTGCTCGATGACATGACCTAAAACAAAGAAAATGCACATAACAAGTTAGTACCTTTCTTTTCCTCGACGTGAACAGGGGGAATGTATTGTTGGACTTTGGTGTAGCTGAGGATGGTCTCGAACGATTCCAGAGTGTTAATATCAGCTCTGTAATTCTCGATTTTCCGTCTGTCAGCACTTGTCCAAGTATCCACTACGACACCTAGTTCGTGGGTTTCACGATAATCCCACGCCATACAGAACTCTTCTGGTGCCTCCACAAATAAGTAGTTTGGCTTCCATATCGGGGGAACCGTCGAAGAGTTCTACTATGTGGTTTGCTTTCGACGATATATTGGTCTTTACATTATACCATTCTTTATACTTAGTTGAGGGAACGCAGACTTTAAAGAAATACCTCCACACTATTAGTCGAGGCGTGATGTTCTGCAATTCACAGAGTCTTGCAAAACCAAGGACCGCTGTGACTAAATTGGGGGTGAATCGAGCAAGTAAAATTTTGTAATGCTGAACTATTCTACCAAACAGAGGGAAAAGGGGGAATCTTAACCCTAGAAACATGAATCTAGCAAACACAGTAATTTTCTCCTCTGGCAGAGTATCAGCTCGTTCATAATCCAGTGGTGCTCGATAATCTAGATCTACGGGGAAGTTATACTGCTTGGCGACTTCTTTAGCCTATGTCTCGGAGTTTATGGTTGATGAAAACCCAGATACGGTCTGAGCGGCCATATCTACCCCAATATACATGCAATCTAACCAGATTCAGACAAAGCAAAAAGCACACAGGGGCATCAAACATACAAGGGGATAAGGAAACTTACTTCTGTTGGAATCTGATGTATGGAGCTGAGATGATGCTTTCCTGGCGGCAGATGCTGTAAGCGTTTCCGACGAGGATGGGAAATCTTTGTCCTTGACTGCAAAATTTGATGCGCCAGGGCAGAAGACTTGTGTGTGGTTTTCGGGTGTGACTTTGAAAAAAAAAAAAAAAAAAGAGATGACCTCCCCAATATAAAAAGAAAACCTTTTTCCTCTCTCTCTTTCCCATGACCTGACGTTTCGGGGGAAGTTTCAGGGGTAATTATGATTGCCCTGCCGCCGTTTGGGAAACGTGCGCACTGATGGGGCACGTCTGCCAGGATTTGGGCGGGATTCTGAAGCGAGTTTTTTTCCCGGGTCGGGTTTGACCCGCGAGTTAAGTCAACCAGCTTGCCCAAGGCGCTTTGGGTTTGGGCTATGCAACTACAAGCACTTTGGGTTTGGGCTATGCAACTACTTTGGGCCGGACCAGGTCAGATTTACATTTTGTGAAGTCTTGTTTATTTCATATAGCTAATACTTGACAGGGGCACTTGCCGAGTCCATATCCAACCCCGGTGTTGAACCGGCCCAAGAACCGTGTGATGGGCCCGACCGACTCCAATAGAGCGGCAATGTGACTAAACCCTAGTAAGATTCGGTTCTATGATCATACCTTCCTGCCTATAGATAGGGATGTAAGTTCCACAATTAAGGTATGCTATCTTGGCTATTAATCAATATACGCACATAACCCTACTTTCTGACTTAAGTTTCGGAGTGTCTACCCTCGGGAGACGTCCGAAGTTCTGTTTTGCAGGAAATCCGAACCGGAGTTCTACCCTAAAGCTGCGGTACAATTCCAGGTATCGTCAAGTTTGAAGAAAAAGAAAGTTTGAATTGGTGGAAAAGTAGAATAATGCATAGCTGTAGAGATTTTTCTTTCATATGTTCGGCTTTGTCTCGCTTTATTATTGGCTTTACACATGGTGATTTCTTCCGATCTCTTTCCCTTTGTCACTGTAGTTACTTGCAATCATATGAAACTCGGAATGGAAGAATGGGGCATTTGAAGATATTTTAGTTTTTTTTTTTTTTCCTTCTGGGCCGAAAAATCAGTTTCTAATATGTGCTAAAATGATTCTTAAATGTTTTGCACAGTAACATTCACAATATTTAGAAGAATTATATATGATTTTAATCCTCCTTATGAGTTAGATTCACAAACTCCAGGTCTCGACTTTGGTTCACAAAAAATCCCAAAATTCAAATTAAAATTCTTCGCAATCATTATTAAAACCAAAAAGAAAATCCTGAAGTAATAACAAAATAAAATCATTGAAACAAATATAAAAGTACTTTTATTTGATAGCATTGTGCTAGACTCAATCATCTTCGTCCTCACGAAAGTGGGAGGTCAATTAACACTGGAGAAATTAAAATCAAAATATTCAACTCCTAAGTTACACATATCCTTTCCTAATTTAATTTAGAAATTTGTAAAAATGCACTACCTAATACAAGATCCTTCTCATTTTTGGCATGTCCGGCCAGGAGGGAATATCTTGAAGAAAGGTAAGCAACATATATCCAATGAAAGAGACCAGAACTCCCTCATTTGAAGGGTATGTTACACTGAGGTTGATTCTCTCATTTTGGTTCTTCCACCTTAGCAAGGAACTCAAGGAAGCTCTCAACCATGTGAGAGTGGCCAGTTCAGAAACCTGTTGTTTGACACTTGAAACCCTAATTCTGATACAATTCACTAAACCAAGAGCAAACCGAGAGAGTCTACGGCTCATTTTCTCTCCCATCCCAAAGACCTCAAACCTGTGTCTGGAGGGGAAGGGGGAATGCAATTGGGGAAGAAGGAGAGTAGAATGCAATATGCTAAAGGATGGAGGCAGAGTGGGAAATGGTGGGAAGGAGATTTTTAAAAATTCGGAGGGGCAAAATGATCGTAATAGACGGCAGGAAGTAAAAATGTGAATGGTATAAAGCATTAGTCATGTTATATCGTCTACCCTTAATTAAATCTCCTGACCTTAACCCATGCTTGGTTTTGATGCCCGAGTCTAACAACAACAATAAAAACAGCGCGCATATTTTTCACAAATAGGCGATAATTTGCTTTTTGTGGGGCTATTTTGCTACAAATAGTGCATCAAAACCGACGTCATTGGATCACGGCAATTGCTAATTCTTATGTGCAACACAGTATTTTAGTTGTAGCTCATCCAAAGATTGTTGTAATTAGAACAGTCATGCAAGACCACTTTTTATTTGTGGTAAACTAACTGTACTCTTTCATTTTTTTCCTGCCCTCTTTACTCTTTAATACTCACGTTGTCTCAAAATTATTATCCAGTTGGAATTTTCACTTTTGATTTAATTTATACTAAACATGAAAATCTAAATTGAATAATAATTTCGAGACGGAAAGAGTACATAGCAACATATTTTAGTCTTTTTTCACTTTTTGTTCTTCCTCTGGCCCTAAAAGTCACTTTCTAATATTTGGTAAGATATCATTAAATGTTTTGAGCAGTAACATTCACGATATTTTGAAGAATTATGCTTTTAATCTCCTAATGAGTTCGAGCATTATTCATGTCCAAAATCCAAGTCTCGATCATCAGGTTCACAGGACATCCCGAAATTCAAATTTTCAAATTCTTCGCTGCCATTATATGAAATCAGAACTCCAGCCATTTGAAGGGGCTCTTTGTGTGTTCTTCGACCTGAGCAAGGAACTCAAGGAAGCTCAAGCATATAAATGTCTGACCAGTTCAGAAACTTGTTGTTTCACACGCAAAACCCTAATTCCAATACAATTCACTAAACCAAGAGCAAACCCAGAGAGCCTACGGCTAATTTTCTGTGACGAAAGAAAAAAGGCTCCCTCTTTCTCTCCTATTCCAAAGACTTCCTTGAAAATCGCAGTCTTCAAATCTGTATAGAGAAGGCAGAATGCTCTTGAGGATGGAGGCGGAGTGGGAAATGGTGAGAAGTCAAAAACCCTAGTAGTGAAGAGTGGAGACTGGAAACAGTAGTATATAAAGGAGTGGCTTCCAATAAAATAAA